TGTTGTGTAAGCAGACTCTTGCTGCTTGGGGAGACTCCTCCAGTGAATTAGAAGGGGAACCAGATGCAGAAAATAGCTCCATGATGGCAGTAGAAACTGGAGCAACGAAATATGACTCACTGTTTGCGCTGATGGCTCAGTCTGACGATGATGAAGAGGATGAAAATGATGAGGTAAATTTCAGGGATGTTCAGAGAAATCTGAAGTCTTACTCTTTTAAGAAATTAAGGTCATTAGCAACTGTTCTAATTGATGCATACTATAGCCTTATTAATGATAGGGAGATCTTGACCATAGAGCTAAGAGATACTAAACAATCTAGAGATTATCTGGTGGTCTGTGTAGTTGATCTAAATGAGACCATAGCTAATCTTGAAAAAGAAAAGGAAGCCTTGAATGAAAAAATAAATAGTGTAGAAAATGAGAGAGATGACTTGATGGTAGTGGTTGTTGATTTGAAGGAAACCATAGAAAGCTTTAGCAATGAAAAACACACTCTAGAAGAGAAAATTGCTGCTACTGAGCAAAAGAGAAATGACCTTTTAGTGATAATCACTGACCTAGAGGAAACTATTGAGGGACTCAAATCAGAACTTAGGTATGCAAGTATTGAGAAAGGGAAAGAAGTAGCTAGTGAGTCACACATCAAGCTTGAAAAGGAATTAAATGATGTTAAAACTAGTCTATGTGGTGAACTCGAGAAAAATAGGTAGCTTCAAGCTGAATTGAAGAAAGTAAAAATTGATCTTGAGAAATCTCTCAAGTGGACCTGGTCCTCAGATGCTGTTACTGCCATGTACTTCAACAATAGTGGAAACAGGCAGGGAATCGGGTTTCAAAAGGAGAAAACTCCTTACAACCCTCACAGCAAGTACGTCACAGTTCCTGATAACTGGCTTTGTACCCACTGTGGGAACAATGGGCACTTCAAAGAAAATTGCCAGGCCAGGGTTCTATTTGTTCAGAAAAACAAAGTGTTTGCTGAAAAAGTGACTACTAAAGAGGAACCAGGTACCACTCTCAAAAAACGAATATTGCCTCCATGGACTAGAAAAGCTCTTATCCATCCCTTCTCTCATACAAGGGAACCAAACTAGTTTGGGTTCCTGAATCTAACCCATAATTTATATATGCAGGGAACAGTGGGAGGAAGCGGACAACAATGGATCATGGGCAGTGGATGCTCAAAGCACATAACTGGATACACCATGGATTTTCTCTCACTGAAAGCCCTGCAAGGAAGGAATATACCCTTTGAAAATGGAAAGAAGGGGTACATTCTTGGTATCGGGAAGAAAACAGGGCAAAAGTTCGCGTCTAAGCTGGTGATATGAGCTGCTTGAATGCAGATGATAATGATTCGGAGCTCCGGCATAAAGGATTGGGGCATGCAAGCTTCTCACTTCAGAATAAATTAATGAAGAAGGACCTGGTCCATGGTCTATCAAATTCAAAATTCAAAGAACACAGAGTGTGCAATGTATGTGCTAGAGGAAAACATGTGAAATCATCCTTTAAGCCCAAAAGGGAGGTCAGCACATCAAAACCATTCGAACTCCTTCATGTCAATTTGTGTCGTCCTATGAGA